GTAATTTCGTACACTTTCCACTGTTCCACGAATGTGTTAATCTAACACTCTAGCGTAATTTTCAGCTGGCGGCTGCATGTAAACCCACTCTGCCAAAAAAAAATAGACAAGATGGGGGTGAGGGTGGAAGCCGATATATTGAACCATCAAGAATCCCCCACTGGTTCTTAAGCAGGTTAACTGCTATTATAGAATGCTAAATTTAACCTCAGTAAACAGCAAGACACAAACATACATGAAACGTCGACAATAATAACCTTATTTCACGATACTTTTCGAAGCCACAGTGGGAAACTCTTTTCCGTTTCGATTTTGATAAAAGCCAACAATAAAATGATTAAGCGTGTGATTTGACGATGCGACATCCATACGACAGAGGATGTTAGACAAAAATGCGAAGACGAGACAAAAACAAAAATCCCTTTATTTACTACAAGCTGGCGAATTCTTACTTGAAAATGTCACTCGGAGAAATATCTGTTGGAAAGAGTTCTCTTTCTTTCAGCCAAACAAACAAAAAACATGTAGTAGTTATACAAGAGTCTATTGACTCTTTTGTGTATACGACACGCTTGGTTTGCTTCATCACTTATAATGTCACAAACACGTTATCTTATCTATCTCATTTGTATTTACTGAAGAATACATTATCGAGCATGTTTTTACGTAACGACGTGTTTATTAATGACCGGAAGTGGAGGTACTATTGTACCACAGAAAGGGTCAATTATCTACGACAACTTCGAATTAGCCGGGCCCGAGGACAAGTCTTGTTTGTCAGAAAGGAAGAGAGCTGACTATACAGAGATTTGAGTACGTTATATTAAAATGATTTTGAATATGCAAATCTGCAAGTCACGTGAAAAATACAGCCGATATAAAGTCGTCGTAGAGCAGAATGTATCGTAAACAATATTTTGACATCGTTTGGAGTGCGTATGTATCGCGATTCTATCGAGAATTAACTACTTATTGAAAGGGTATGTAACAGACGTAAAATATTCACATAGTCAGATCATAAGGATGTGTTCAGATCGGAGATTTAGAATTTCCAAGATGGGAATATCCCTTGCACTTTACGACAGGTGGTTAGGGCGCTTGGCTCGGAATCTGAGGGTCGCGGGTTCGAATCCCCGTCACACCAAACATGCTCGCCCATTCAGCCGTGGGGGCGTTATTATGTGACGGTCAATCCCACTATTCGTTGGTAAAAAGAGTAACCCAAGAGTTGGCGGTGGGTGGTGATGACTAG